GCCCTCTGACCCGGAAGCGCTGGGCGCCGGCGGGGCGAGACGGCCCGACTTCCGGCGCCTGCTTCCGGCGGGGCCCGGCGACCTCCGCGGGGCCAGGCGGGTGGCGAGTCAGGGCCGCGGCGGCGGCGTCCACGCTGCGGCCGCGCTTGCTTGCAGCCCTCAGCCCCGCGCTCCGGCCCCGCGCCGCCATGGGCAAGAAGCACAAGAAGCACAAGACCGAGTGGCGCTCGTCCTACGAGGGTGAGGCGGCGGGCGCGCTTTGTGACGTCGGGCCGGCCGGCGGGCGGGGGGCGGGGTCCCAGGCGGGGGCCCCGGGCAAAGATCCCGGGCTCGCGGGCTCGGGCCCCGAGGGAGAATCCCCCGGCTCGCCTGCGCGTGAGGGAGGGGGGTCTCGGCGGGGGGAAGATTCCGGGGTGGCGGGAAGGTGTCCTGGGCGAGGATTCTGGGATCGCGGGCGGAGGTTCCGGGCCAGGGCGCCAGGGCTGTCGGGCGTCTGGTCCGGCTCCTGCATCTGTGTTGGCTTGTCTGGTCTTGGAGAAGTTCGTCCCTGTTTGTCACCCGCGTCCCGCCTGCGCGTTCCTGCAGCCTCGGTCCTGTGTCTGCTGCAGGACAGACGGGCGTGAGCGCAGGCCAGGAGCTTAGGGAAGGGGGCGGGGAGGGACCAGGCTCCTGGGCTCCCCTGCCTCCTTGTTCCTCGCCAGACAGAGCAGCTCGAACTATGTCCCTGAGGGTGATGCAGCACCAAGGGGGGCGGGACTGGCAACCCTGGGGTTTGCTTCCCCACCTTTCCCTGATGGTGTTGCCTTCTGGGGCCTGGGCGTCCTCTCTGTTCCCCCTGCACGTCGGGCCCCTGGTGCCACTACACACCCGAGCACACCCCGAAGCTGCGGTCTCTGCTTACAGATTATGCAGACAAGCCCTTGGAGAAGCCCCTGAAGCTGGTTCTCAAGGTTGGAGGAAGTGAAGTGACTGAGCTGTCGGGGTCTGGGCACGACTCCAGTTATTACGATGACAGGTCAGACCACGAGCGAGAGCGGCACAAGGAAAAGAAGAAGAAGAAGAAGAAGAAATCCGAGAAGGAGAAGCACCTTGACGACGAAGAAAGAAGGAAAAGAAAGGTAGAGCAGGGCAGCAGCTGGCCGGTGGAGGCCCCCAGCCCCCCGGAGGGCAGATCACAAGGGCCGTGGGGTCTTAGGAAAGGGCTGGCCTGTTTGTAGCCAAAGGCGCACGAGCCCAGGGGGTGGTCGTTGGGGGGGGAGGGGGGATCTGAAGGAGAAGTGTCTCTGGAGGGAGGTTTGCTCGCTCGGCTTTGTGTTGCAGGAGATTATTTAAAACTGCTTGCCTTGCTCTCGCGCCCTGACTCTGCCTCACAGGAAGAGAAGAAGCGGAAACGGGAAAAGGAGCATGGCGACTCGGAGGGAGAGGCCGACGACTTTGATCCCGGCAAGAAGGTGGAGGTGGAGCCGCCCCCCGACAGGCCTGTGCGAGCGTGCCGGACACAGCCAGGCGAGTGGAAGGAACGTGTTTGGAGGCTCTCCTGGAGCGCGACAGCTCGTCTCTGTGACACAGTGGTTGGCGTCGTGCTTTTCTGCCTCTTGGGGACGTGTGCGGGAAGGAGGGAACAGCGCTTTCTCTTCCAGGGCTCGACATGAAGCGTAGCTGGACCTGAGGTCTTAGTGTCAACTCGAACCTGGAGAGCAGGGTTCAGCCAACTGCCGCCCCTGTGCCCCCTCCCTTTGTTCTTTTTAAACTCACGAGCTCGTCACGGGGAGAAGGGAACTAGTGCTCAAATCAGTTGTTACTGAGGCTGTCAGGCACCACGAGGGCTGTGCCAGCCTCACCGGAGGAGAGAACACTCGGGGCTCTCTAATCTGTGAGTGGTCACTTTCCTCAGGGATTTTCAAATGGTCAGGAGGTACTGAAGTGGAGGCGGTTTTCCTTCGAGCGTTTCTCTTCTTGACGTTGGGCTTCACTGCCTGTGATTCGGGAGGGAAGGAAGTGGGGTCGTATGGCAGTCGTTGCCAAGGGTGTGGTTTTCTGGCAACAGCCGTCCCCGTGCAAGTCATTGCCACGGTGAACAGGTAGGACCCGGGGCCACGGGGCACAGTGAGCAGGAGAGAAGGTCAGGCGTGAGACGGTTCGCTAGGTGAACGTGCTCACGAAGTGCGTACGGTCGCCGGTCCCTGCCGGCTTGGTCTGATCAGCTGATTGAGGTCACGCGTGCAGTGCTTCCCTTCCGTGTACCCGAAGGGGTGATGTTCACACTTGCTCTGGTCACTGTCACTGTCGGGACCCACTCGTGGTCTGCAGGCCTGTTTGCTTCAGCCCTGGAACCAGCTATTTCTCCGAGGAGCCCTGGTTCCTTAGTGCATTCAGATGCTGAGGTCTGGGGGCTGGGCGTGGCCGGCAGTGGTAAGAGCACTTGTGTTCTTATGGCTGAGGGAACAGAACCTAGGCCACCACGTGTGCTTACTACGTTCACCAGAAACCACGGTTCCACACCGTGGGCCAAGAGATGTAGTTAGTGGCCGTCCTCACAAGGACCCCCGTGCGGTTGCATTCGTACCCGTTTTACAGAGGAGGAGCAGCAGAGGTGCGGCCAGAGGTTCTGGACTGCCAAGTAAAGTGATAGTCAGTGAAGCTCGGCCTCTGTGTCCTGGCCGTCTTCGTACCGTGTCTGGAACGTACTGGGCCCGGCCGTGACCGGGGACTCATACAGACTGACAAGTGACAGCTCCCTGTTGTCGTTTGAAGGATCTTGGCACTTTCTAAGGGGTTTGGGGGACTGATGCTGTGGTGGATGCCCCTCCCACCCAGCTGAGTTTTTTGGGGCCAAGACCGGGTCTGGGTCATCCTTGTACCCAGTTCTTGTTGGAGCCTGAAACACTGAAGCGTGCCGTGGAGTGGGAGCTCTCTGGTGACACAGTATCAAGATGTTTTGACTCATCGTTATCCTGTACTCTTTAAATTGTCAGCCGAGAACGAGAGCACACCGATTCAGCAGTTACTAGAGCATTTTCTCCGCCAGCTCCAGAGGTAAACAGTTTCTCAAGAACTTGAGGTCGGGAACCTTCAGGGTGTCTTTCCTTGTGACGGGTTCTTCCCTCACCTCCCACACCCGTGAAGCAAACCCTTCGCCCTCCCTGGGTGACGCCCAGTCTAGTGGGGGGTGGGCCGGCGTGGGGAGAGCGCCGTGTGCCCGGTCCGTGCAGGGCAGGGGTGTTGGTGGGGGGCGGTCAGGACCTCCACGATGCAGATGTCACGGCTCCAGCCAGGAGGGTAATTTTGGAATTTTTAATCATCAAAAACATCTACGCTTCTACAGGGTGTAAATTTTATTTCTTATTTTAAGGAACAAAACTTGGTGAATTGTATCATGTTTTTACCGTGAAACATTTTGTATCGTTTGGAAATCTACATTTAGGGTTTTCCTGTTTAAGTAATGATGTTCTTGTTTTCAGAAAAGATCCTCATGGATTTTTTGCTTTTCCTGTCACGGATGCAATTGCTCCCGGATACTCCATGATAATAAAACATCCCATGGACTTTGGTACAATGAAAGACAAGATTGTAGCCAACGAATACAAATCAGTCACAGAATTTAAGGTAAACTAATTTCGGTTTCTGAAATAATTGTTGCGAAGCTCTCTGTGTGTTTATGTCCAGTAAGCACTCTGTCCGTATCAGCTGGTTTCTAGTTGGGAGTGTTCATGGGGGCCTGAGCCTTCGGGCCAAGGTCTCCCAAAGGTTGCATCAGGGAAACCGGTATTCTTGTCTGGAAGCTGTAGAGACATGTGAGGTCAAGCAAAAGTGTGTCTGATGTGGTCTGACTCCAGAATGGGTATTTTTAGAATTACAGTTTTTCCTAGTTTTTTGTTTCATAGTAACTGTGAGTTTAATTTTTTTTTTAACGATAAATTTCTATGACTCTCTAGTGTGTAGTTCTGAACTCTGTTTCTTGGTTCAACTGCGAGGCAGGAATTGCTTGTTGGCTTTGATCCCAGGGGCGGATCAAGATGAGTGCTTGACGCTTTGGTAATGATGTCATGTAGGAAAAGGCATCGGGTTTCTTTCTTAGTTTCTATTCAATTTGGAAGGCTTAGCTCTATCCCTTTCATTTGCTGGTGACATGACTGAGCGTGTTTGCTGAGCCTCAGAGGCTGTGCCACGTGAAAGGGTACGGGGGCAGGCGGCTCTCAGTTCTCCACCTTCCTTGTCGGGCCCTGGTTTGCTCTGCTGCCCAGTGACGGTCCTGGATGTGAGCAGTGTCCCCCCTCTGCCTTGTCCTCAAGACTGCTACATCAGGGCCCACAGAGGAGGGGGACTTGAGGGCCACAGGCCCAGCCCTGGGGACCTTGGCCGTGGGGCCAGTGCTGGGGCTCGGTCGGGGTCTGGCTGGCTTCAGCTGTCCTTATGCGTCCTCATGGCCAGCACAGCGCACAGTGACAGGTGTGTGTGCAGTCTGTAATTTGGTTGGGGTGATGACATATTGAAACGTCCAATAGCTTGCTTTTCACGTAAGCTGTTCAGCAAGATTTCCCTTATCTTACAGAAAGCCTTTTTGCTGATGCTATTAGAGTAATTGGCGATAGACCAAGTTTTGAATTCTGTGGCAAAATCCCAGAGAGAGGACGTGAACGTGCTCAGCTCTCGGCTCGTTCCTCAGCTTTTCCTTAAAAGGACCTGGCTGTCACTTGTCGTTCCTACTTACATCTGATTTCTCCCAAAGCGGGGGAGCTGGAGATGGAAAGAGGGAGCCGCGATGTTCTTAGAACGCACACGTGTTGGGGCAGCTGGGAGGCTCCGTCGGTTAAGCGTCCAATTCTTGGTTTCGGCTTAGGTCATGATCTCGTGGTTCACGAGTTCAGGCCCCACGTCAGGCTCTGTGATGACAGCGTGGAGCCTGCTTGGGATTCTGTCTCTCCCCTGCTCACACACACATTCTCTTTCTCAGAATAAAAAAACAGAAACAGAAGCCATGCGTGTCGCGCTCAGGAGGAAGCTCCAGGTTTGGCAGGCTTCTCACTGTAAGGTCTGAAACTTCTCTCAAAGAGTCGTTAAAAACCATTTGTTAAGCTGAAGAGCCTGGTTTAGTTGCTTGCTACTCAGTTTTAGCCTCTTGACGGGAATCCGGTTTTTGCCGGCATCTCAGTGGTTCAAACTCGACAGATTCTATTTTTTTCCCTTTCAGGCGGATTTCAAACTGATGTGTGATAATGCGATGACCTACAACAGACCAGACACTGTGTACTACAAGTTAGCTAAGAAGATCCTTCACGCAGGCTTTAAGATGATGAGCAAAGTAAGAAGCCCGCGGCGGCAAGGAGCCACAGAGACGAGAGTTCCCCTCTGTCTCGATGCCTACACCGAGCCCCACCCCCACTGACTGACATGCTGCCACCCGTCCATCACTGGCCGTGGTGCAGAGCCTCTGTACGCATCCCAGGCCACCCTCCCCGCCAGGCGCGCTCTCTCTCTCTCTCTCTCTCTCTGCTCCTGCGCCAGCTGGAACATCTCCTTTAGGGTTGGTGGAAAGTGCTGGATCTGTTGATCTAAGTGTGGGTGTCTGATGGATTGCAGCCAGCCTGTGATTTGTTTTACGTGGCTGCCTCACTGAGTCCAGACAGGACGTCTTGGCCGTCCGGAGTGGCTTCCCAGATCTGTCCCATGAGCCAGGTTGCATGCGTCACGCATCTAGGACCAGTGCCTTGTGCCTGACCGGCCTGTAGGTGAGGTGCGGGCCCCTGTGCCCTCTGGTCCGTCCCCCTCTGCCAGCCCCGAGTGCTCCCAGCCAGTCGGCCGCGCCTGTGGTGCTGACTCCCACCTGCACCTGCCGCGGTAGCGCCACGGGAGCCCGCTGTTAGGCCAGGCGAGGCTGCGGCCATCCCCATCCCACCCATCGCCATGGCGCCTCGGCTGTGAGGCAGAGGTAAAGGCCTGCTGCTCTGTCCTTTTTGATTCTAGGAGCGGCTGTTAGCTCTGAAGCGCAGCATGTCGTTTATGCAGGACATGGATTTTTCTCAGCAGGCAGCTCTTCTGGGCAACGAAGACACAGCTGTTGAGGAGCCCGTTCCTGAAGCGGCACCTGTACAAGTAGAAACTGCCAAGAAATCCAAAAGGCCGAGTAGAGAAGTTATCAGGTAACGGGAAACGCACCTCAGGATTGTGAGTGAGGGTGAGCCTGTGCTGGCGCCCGTGTCCGCGGAGTAGCTCGCGGACCCCCACCTGCTGGAAGGAGCCCGGTCCCCAGCGGCTGCGTGTGAGCTCTGGTCTCAGGTGTTTCCAGGCAGCTGGCCGGCAACCTGGGCCAGCCGGGCCTCGTCACGCTAACGGACCTGGGGGCACAAGGGCAGGACAGCCCCTGCCAGCCACACGCAGGCTCTGTTCCAGGTGTGACACTGCTGTTCCCATATGCGTGTTGCAGTGATTGTTGGCCCTTCACTCTGAAGAAGTTCCCTCACGTGCAGGAGGACACTTGATGGTAGCCTAGCTTGGCTGTCCCTGTGCGGGGGACGTAGCTGTGCTGTGTTAGGCAGGTGACACGCTTTGTGGGCGGGCTTCATTCTCCTCATACCTGACCCCCCAACTCCTGCAGCCGTCCACCCTAGGCCAGAGGCGGGGCCTTCTTGCAGGCTTGGGGTCTGCAGGCAGAGTTTGCTCCCGCAGCTCCTTGGATGGAGTCGGTCCATATGCTTCTGGAACCTTCCACAGGAGAGGCCACATCGCTTGGGCGCTGCCCCCAGTGACCCTTGGCTGTTCGAATAAAGCTCTGTGTGGGGTCTGAGCCTGCCTGCCGAAGGCTCGGGACGCCCCTTTTGCCTCACGACCTGTGCTCCCAGCTCACCCTTGTTTCTGGCGTCTCCACGCTCCACGGAGCTTTGCCTCTTTTTCCAACGGTGCCTCGAATGACATTGTGAGTAGTGAGGTTGCCGTCAGGTTGCTCTTAGATCAACTCAGGTGTGCAGCTGAGACACGAGACCCCTCCAGCAGCCGTTTGGGGCTCCCTCGCTGTTCGTGGAGGCCCCGCATATTGCTGCAGTTACAGCCACGAGGACAGGGTCGAGGAGTGCTCCGTGCCCTTGCTCCCGGCCCGTGGTGACCTTGGGGAGCGGTTGGGACTGACCGTGGTGAGGTGGGAGCAGCACATGCCCCGGTGACGTGTGTGGTGTTCCTGCCTCGCAGCTGCACGTTTGAGCCGGAAGGAAATGCCTGCAGCCTGACTGACAGCACGGCAGAGGAGCACGTGCTGGCCTTGGTGGAGCACGCAGCTGACGAGGCTCGGGACAGGATCAGCCGGCTCCTCCCAGGGGGCAAGGTAGCGTCAGGGGTGTCTGGGCAGAGCTCGTGTCCCGCAGGCTCGCTTTGGGTCCCGTCACCGGCTCCATCTCGGGGGTGGGCGGGGGCCTCCAGGGGTGCCTCGCGGGCAGGAGCCTCCCAGAAGCGGTGTGTGATGCGGGGACACTGCAGCAGCCTAGCCCCGTAGTGGGGATGTTGCCCACCGGCGGATGGACGTCAGGCCTGCCAGGCATCTGCGCTGCAGCCTCCCTCTTCTCCTGGTGTGCTTGCGTCTCTGTGTGCCTCTGCGGCGCCCGTGGGTCCCATCTGACCCGGGCCTGGCCTGTGGGGGCCTCCCTGCTGTGCTTGGAGCACCCCCCTGCCGGGAGAGCAGACCGGCACCTCCGGTAGAAACGGTGTGGCTCTTGCGTGCACTTGTAAAATTTTTTCTTTTTTTTAATGTTTATTTTATTTTTGAGACAGAGAGAGACAGAGCATGAACGGGGGAGGGGCAGAGAGAGAGGGAGACACAGAATCGGAAGCAGGCTCCAGGCTCTGAGCCATCAGCCCAGAGCCCGACGCGGGGCTCGAACTCACGGACAGTGAGATCGTGACCTGAGCTGAAGTCGGAGGCTTAACCGACTGAGCCACCCAGGCGCCCCTTGCGTGCACTTTTAAACCCGCTAGTCACGGTAACGAGGACAGAGGCGATGTTAATCCCGACACGTTTACTTGACCTGGTGCATCCACAGTCTCGTCTGTGCATGTGGTCTGTGTGAAGAACTCTTAGAACTTCACATCCCTGTCTCAGACGCGTTTTCAAAACGCACGTGGAGTGTTTTGTCAAAGATTTTGAACAATGACGTTTTGCATACGCCGGGTTACGTGAAGCATACGGAGATGAATCTTTTACTTACCTTAAGCTTCCCTGGTGGAAAGTTTGCGGTTCCCTGTGTAGCTGATGTTGATCTGCTGGACCCGCTGGTCTGCATGCCTGTAGTGCTTCAGCCCTGGAATGTCCCGGGCACTGGGCACGGCCCTCAGTGGCGCTGGGAAAGAGCCCTGCGGACGCTAGCTCGGTGAGGGAGGGCCATGCTGAGCTGTGTGTATTCATCAGAGGCACGTGTCCACACCCGAACCCCCATTGCTCCCAGTGCTGGGCCTGTTTCCCTTTTCTCCCTTTTTGGGTTGTAATTCCACAGCAAGAAACCGGACTCCTGTTCCCCTTAGTGCATTCACGTGGTCAGTGCTCACGTGATCAGCACTTACATGGTCAGCGCTCACGTGGCTGGTGCTCACATGGTCAGCGCTCACATGGTCAGTACATCCATAGTCAGCACTCGCATGGTCAGTGCTCACATGGTGAGTACTTACATGGTTAGTACTCCCATGCTCACCGCTCACGTGGTCAGCACTTACGTGGTCAGTGCTCACGTGGTCAGTATATGTGGTCGTTGCTCGTCAGTACTGACACGGTTAGCGCTCACGTGGTCAGTATTTACGTGGCCAGCACTCACGTGGTCAGCGCTTACGTGGTCAGTATTTACGTGGTCAGTGCTCACGTGATCAGTACTGACACAGTTAGCGCTCACATGGTCAGTGCTCACATGGTGAGTACTTGTACGGTTAGTACTCACACACTCAGCGCTCACATGGTCAGTACTTATGTGGCCAGTGCTCACATGGTCAGCAGTGACGGGTGTCCTGTCCTCCCCGCCCTGTATTCAGGCACTCAGGCCAAGGGTCCCCCTCTTCTCTTCCCCCACTCCCACGTGCAGGTGCCCCTCCTGGACCTTCCTGGGGGCCTTCAGAGGAAGAGGGCTTTTGTTCAGTGGTTTTCTGTAAGCGGAACTAAGTCCCTTGTGTTAGAGATGGAGCCTCTAGTGCCCGTTGATATGGCATTTGGTGACCAGGGTCCTGTTCTGGGTCATTTGGCTCAGGTTCTGACATCCTGTAAGAGGGCAGTTTCTGGGGTAAGCTTCCTGTTTCCGTATCTCCTTTAGAAGGATCAGGAACTAGTCTTAATCCTTTCAGTACACATGGGTGTGAAGTCAAGTTCGGGGAGGTATGAGAGAGGTCTCTGTGGTCTTTTCCATGGGGAAACCAACTGCCCCGTGACCTGTTGGGATTTGTGCACATTAGGCCGTGCTCGTACGCCTTAGCTCTGTTGGCGTTGCGGCAGAGCACGTAGGGCCAGCCCTCAGGTGTGCTTCCTTGCAGATGGGCTATCTGAAGAAGGACAGTGACGGCAGCTTGCTCTACAGCGTGGTCAACACGGCCGAGCCGGATGCCGACGGTGCGTGGCCCCGAGCAGGGCTGGGGTTAGTCTCCGCAGCGCCAGGGAGTTTCGGCTTTGTAGCCCATTTGAGATCACGGTTGCCTGTGCAGAGCAGGCCCCAGTCGCACGGCGTAGACGAATCCCATCCGGTGTTACTCCCCTGTCCTCCCCCTCCTGTGTATGATACGCAGCCTGCGTATGATACGTGGACGGGGGCAGTCATCCAGCAGGGGCAGGGGTGCTGCTCAGACCTTTTCTGCCCCAGGGTCTAGCATAGGCAGCCAGTATAGAGCTGTGCTCCCACAGGGCTGCGATTCTACAAGTCTTCATGGCCTGACTTCCAGATACCGTCATGAGGATCGACTCACACCCTTGTCAGGGCTCCCTGGGAGGAGCCAGAGTGCACAACTCCGTCGCACTCGCGGAGCTTGGAAGGGGCCCAAACATGGGCTTAGAGGGGATGCCCTGTGTGATCATCGTGTTGAGGACCTTGAGGGGGGCACAGATGCTGGATCTGCTCACCCGTGGGGAAGCCCTTATGTACTCCGTCTCTTTGAAAAGTATCTTGAGTTGATCAACTCGTAGCTTAGACAGAGTTAAGGTTTGAGAATTGTAGCGGCTACTTTTTTTTTTTTTAAGTGCTTATTTATTTTGAGAGAGAGAGAGAGAGAGAGAGAGAGAGAGAAAGAATCCCAAGCAGGCCCCAGGCAGTGCAGAGCCTGAGGCGGGGCTCGAACTCACAAACCGTGAGATCGACCTGAGCTGAAATCAAGAGTCGGATGTTTAACCGACTGAGCCACCCAGGTGCCTAAGAATTTTAGTGGTTTCTGTAAATTTGATTTTAGCTGGTCTTTCTAGAGAGCCCCCCGTGCCTTCCCCAAGTGCACTCTGTGAGCCACTGCGGGAGCTGGGAACTCCCCGAGCCACCTGTTCACAGCCCGGTCCCTTTGCAGAGGAGGAGACACACCCTGTGGACCTGAGCTCGCTCTCCAGCAAGCTGCTCCCCGGCTTTACCACACTGGGCTTCAAGGATGAGAGAAGGGGCAAAGGTGAGTGTGGGGTGGGCAGGTAGGGGCATGGGATGAGGGAAATCACAGGAGAGGTGTGGACCCAGAGTCCTCCCGCCATCTTCCTGGCTCACCTGTTCTTAGTAGTGTGTCCAGATTCTGGCTCTGAAACTAACAATGAGATTAAATTAAGGTCCTGTCGAGTGAGAGGAATAAACATTTCACCGGGCACGCTCCTCTTTGCCGTCCACTCGTACCGGTCTGTGGGTCTCAGCCCCGTGCCGACCGGGTGTCTGCCGAATGATGGTGGGCAAGTGTGGGAGATGGAAGGTTGGATGGGTGTGGCGGTGGAGGGAGGGAGGGGACCGGTGTGCTGGCCGCACTTGTGTGTGTGGCCGAGTGACCGAGTGACGTCTGTGGCTGGTTTGCTAGATTTGGAGTGTATCGGTGTGCGGCGGTTTTGTTCCCCGGGGGACAGCTGGTGGCGTCTGGGGACGTTGTGATGGTCCCATCGTGGTGCTACTGGAGTCTAGTGGGGGGGAGGGGCACGTCTGAGACGCATTGCTCTTGAGCTCTGACGTCATTCACGTGGGGACGCCGGCTGTGATGCCCCCACAGCCCCTTGAGGGATCCAGCCTCGTCCTGTGGGCTCGGTTCCCAGCAGGGCCTGGGTCGGCACGAAGCGCTTCTGCCAGCGCGCGCTCGCCTTGCATCGCATAAACTGTCCTCTGCACCTGCTGCAGAGCCCGAAGTGCTGGTTCGGCCCCGAAGCTGCCACCGCTTCGAGTCGCTGGGGAGCAGCGATGTCACAGGGAGGGGGCTGGGAGCGGGGGCGGGGGTGCCGCCCGCGGGACCGAGCGCGTCTCGTGCGGGCGTCACCGCACGTGCGTCTCACGTCTTGTGCTCTCCCTCTCCTGCCCTCAGTCACTTTTCTCTCCAGCACCACCACCGCGCTTTCAATGCACAGCAATTCTGTGTTCGGCGACTTAAAGTCGGAGGAGATAGACCTGCTGTATTCCGCCTACGGGGATGAGACGGGTGTGCAATGTGCGCTGAGGTGAGCAGGGTCGGCACGGTCTGGAAGGTTCTCGCTTGCCGTGCGGGAGGAGCCGTTTCCCTGGTGGGTGGTTGGCGGGAGACGGCCGACGGCAGCGGGTCTGCATGGCAGAGGTTTTCGAGTTCTTTTCCGTGAACCACTGGTTTGCCACGGGTTGGTCTTGAAGTTTGGGTAACTCAGCTGCGCCTTACAAAGGTGACGATCCGGGCTGTAGTTTAAAAAAGAATGTGTGTGTGCATGTAACCGACCACGTGTTTGGAGCTTGTTTCGTGATTTTGTTGGAACGTGGCTCGGTGGCCGTGTTCGTCTGCTGTGGCCACCGGAACCGTGCACCCCAGCCTGAGGGGCTGAAGTGACAGGCATTCGTCGTCTGGCGGGGCCGGAGGCTGGGAGTCCGAGACCCGGGCGTGGGCAGGGCTGCTTTCTCCTGGGGCCTCTGTGCTTCGCGCCCTGGTCTCCCTGTGTCCTCACCTGCACGCCCGTCTCTAAGTCTGTGTCCCGGTCTCCGTTTCCTTCTGAGACACCAATCGTAACGCGTTAGGGCCCCCTAAAGACTCCGCTCGACCTTCATCACCTTTGGGAGGCCACGTCTCCAAATAATACGTTCTGAGGTACCGGGGTTGGAGCTTCAGCAGAAGAATTTTGGGACACGCTTCAGTCCCCAACAGTGACTGGGACGTGGTACTAAAACCTCAGACATGGTGCCGTGTTTCTGTGGAACTGCTGTGTTCTGTGCACCAATAGAAGTAGGTCACGCCTGTGGAATTTTAGGAATTCTCCAGGAGGAAAGGCAAGTTTGGCTAACTTCTAAGAAATGGATCTTTCCGTATTAGATCTTTAATTCCAAACAGAACACGGGACGTGTTTTAAAAATGAACAAAAGGAAATCAGCCCTTAATACGATTTTTAATGAGCCCAGAGAAGCAGAAGTGGAACACCAAGGAGGAAATCTGGTGAGCGAGGACAGTGTCACAAGTGGTGCCCCCCCCCCCCTTTTGCCCCACTGCCCGGTCACAGCCTTTAAGGGACGGCAGTCACCTTTGGTTCAGGGGGCACGGTGTTCCCAGACGGTGGTCGCCTTCCCCCGCGCCCACCCCTGAAACACGGATGGACTCTGGGCGCCAGGCAGCGAGAAGCCCAACCGCGTGAGCAGCGCACGGCGGCCGCAGCCCACGCTCCTCCCGGGCGTCCCCGCGTCACCTCGCCACACGCTCTGTTCCAGACCACGCCACGAGTGTTCCGGTGTCCCTGCTCCCGTCACACGCTCACGGTGGTGGCGTCTCCTGAAACGCTCCCGGAGAGACTCGTGTGCCGTCACGGTCTCACTCCCAGATCGGTGGCCCTCCTCGCTCTGTGTGACGGTCTGGCCTCTGGGGAGCCCTTCTGAGCCTTTGCCCCAGGGCTTAGAGGCCAGGACCCGGGCCTTTGTCCCCCGCCTCCTTTTACGGTGCCTTCCACTCACTTCTTTTTTAGTTTGTAGTATTCACGGAGTCCGAAAACCAGGATGACACTCTAGGGTGCGGTGCCTGCGGAGTCTCGTTCCCGCACGAGCTCCCTCTCCCCGCTGCTGTGGAGCATCTCTCCTCGGTCTCCTTTCTTTAAGTCAGAACGGAAACAAAAACGAAAACAGCACCGGGTACGGCCGTGCCCCTCCCGCGGGAGCCCGCGTCTCCCCGTTGACCCCGAGCCGCGCGCTGGCGGTTGTGCGGGGCTACCTACCCGCGGCTTTTCTCGGTCGGTAGAGGACGGCGTCGCGGTCGGGTTTTCTCGGGATTTTCTTCATAATGTGCTCTTCCTGGCGTGTCTCGTGCGGGGTGTGGTGTGCGGTGCGTGTGACGTGCGAGAGCCACGCTCGTCAGCTCGCGTTCTCAGAAAGGCTTCCGGTCAGCAGACTGCGAGCGGTTCGGTCTGAGGCGAGACAGAAGTGATGCGTGGATTTGCAACTTGCGGGGTTGGCGCCCCCGATCCCTGCCGTTGTTCAAGAGTTCACCGTATGTGCCCGGACTCTCGTTAGCCTTGTCTTTTTTTAAGTGATCTTCTCGAGATGGTTTTTAAGTTTTAGCATCTGTTTTTTAAGATCTCTTTTGTTGTTGAGTTTATATTGAGGGAGAGCGCATGTGCACGTGAATGGGGGAGGGGCGGGGGGAAGGGGGGAGAACCCCAAGCAGCCTCCGTGCTCAGCTCAGAGCCTGATGTGCGTCTAGAACTCCCAAAGTGTGAGATCGCGACTCGAGCCCAAGTCGAGAGTCACGTGCTTGACGAGCCACCCGGGCGCCCCTTGAGTTGCTTTTCACCTTTCTGGATCGTGGGCCACCCTGAGTATCTGACGAAGACGGTTGCTGCCACCCCCCAGATTACACGTGGGAGGTTTGCGGCTCTCGGCGAGACCCTCTCGCGGAGGCGCGTCCGAGGAGCCGGGTCCACGGGGCAGGCCCCGCTCCTCAGGACCGTCGGCCCCGGGGAAGGCTCCTGGGAGACGAGAGCGTGCGGCGCGGGGCCTTCCGGCGGCATCATGCCCTCTCTCGGCCTTCCAGCCTGCAGGAGTTCGTGAAGGATGCTGGGAGCTACAGCAAGAAGATGGTGGACGACCTCCTGGACCAGATCACCGGCGGGGACCACTCGCGGATGCTGTTCCAGCTGAGGCAGGTGGGCGTGCACGTGCCGCGTTTGTGGGGCCGCGCCTGTGGAAAGAGCCTGTCCGGATGGACACCGTCCTAGGGAATCGCTGGCTCGTCTCCCCTCATTCATGTTTTAAGTTTTGACTTCAGGCAGTCAGTTTTCTTTCAGAGGAACTGAAAAGTTTAAGTCCCGCTTGCCACCCCCCCTTCTTAACCCCCCCCCCCGCCGTCTCTGGGGCTCTGTGACTTTATACCCAGATTACTGTCGTGTGCCGTCCATGCCCTTTGCTCTGAAGACTCTTTTTGGCTATTTCTTCGAGTGTAGACTTGCTGACGGGGAATTTACTCAGCTTTTTTTTGGTCTGAAGGAAGTTCTTTTATCTGTATTTACGGAATTCCTCTTCCCTGGGTCTGGAATCGTGGAATCCTAGGCTGCTTTTCTCCTATTTTGAGAGACCTCTGACCACACCGTTTCTGAAGCGTCGCCATCGTAGGCGTCTGTGTCTTCTGTCGCGCATCTTCTTGGCAAAGTGCACGCGTCGGCCGACGGGCTTCGAGTGGGCTTTTCCTTTTCTCAAGGTTGTAGGAAAAGACAAGAAGAGGTCTGTGCTATACAGACCTCCGTTCCAGGAGGCCTCAGATACTCGCTCCTTTGTCCTTTGCAGGAAATGGACTGTTTGCTGCTCTACATGCTTCTAAAGTCTAATCTTTGTAACTGATTTTCAGTAATTCGTCTCTGATGTGTTTCAGCGTTCTTTTCTCTGTGTTTATCCTGCTTAACGTTCGTCGGGCTCCTCAGGCCCGTCATTTAGAAGATTTTCATCCGTCGTCTTTTCAGATGTCGTGTCTGCCCCCGCCCCACACTCGTCGCTTCTCCAGGACTCTGACACGCGGCTGGCATCCTGGCCTGTCCCGAGTGCCGGTAATGCTCAGCTCCTTTCTCAGTCTCTTGTCCCTCCCTCAGGGGTGAATGCTGTCTGTTGCCGTGGCTTCAAGTTGAGTGATCTGTTTTTGTGCCGCAGCCACGTTTGCGGTTAAGCTCAGCCAGTGAAGGTTTCCTTTGAGACTCCGTGTTGTAGGTCTAGGCTCTGTTTTCTTCCTTCTTAGGCCTTCCCTTCCACGTTATGTTCATGCTTTCCTTTTACAGTTTTGGACCTATTTCTTGTATCTCCCACAGCTGCTTTGAAAGTCCTCATCCACCAATTCTGTCATCTCTGCCATTCCTGGATTTGCCTTTTGGTTGATTTTCCTCTGCTTACTGCCCACAGTTTGCTGCTTTATTGTTTGATTGGGCCCCGGGCGTTACATTGTCGAGTCTCTGCTGTCTGGACTGGCTATTACTGCCGCCAGCAGTCATAAGTGACTGGCGGAAATATGACTGTGGTTAGTCTGAATTAGATATGATGAGAATGTGAGCTGCGGACCAGGATTTTAGAGACTGGTGCGAAAAAAGAAACGTAAAACTATTTCATTATTTTATCTGGATCTCACGTTAAAATAAAAAATGTTCTCAATACGTTGGGTTAAGTGAAATGCGTCACCGTCGACTACGTGTTAAGATTAATCTTAAGCAGGCTACTGGAAGGTTAGGTAGGCATGTGCTCGCATTACATTACTGCTGGGCGAGGCTGGCTTGGGTTTTACTGTGTTCTTTTGAGAACGTTGATGTTCGTTTTGGCAGAGTTCTTAGGAGTCATCTGATTTCTTGGGATTTGTTTTTAATTTGGTAGGGTGGGTTTCAGCGGCCTTTATGTTGGGTGAGTTTGGCCCTGATCCTAAGGAATGGCCTTTCAGGTCTCTCCTGGGGGCCCAGGTTTCAGTGAGGTCTTGGCTGGGTGGAGTTTGGTTGTGTCTCCTCACGTGTACCTGGCTCCATGGTGTTCGTCTGTGTGTGCACAGGTCAGTGTGCTCCGGGTTCAGCCCTCCCGGACTTGGGGAGCTCCTGCTGTGAGCTGTATCCTCCTCTCCAGACTTTGCCACTCTCCAGTTCCGTGTGGCCGCTGTGCCCCCGCTCCCCCTCTCTGCACCGTGGTCTCAAAGTTTTCCTCCTGGTGCCGCCCCTGGGCACAGTGTGTGAGGCCGTGTCTTTACAGGGCAGGAACTCCTGAGATGTCCTGGCCACTTAGTTTCCTTTCTAGATTCCAGCGGGGTCACTTTTCCGAAAGTGAGCTTGCGTTACAGGAGTCACGTAATTCCCAACGTGCTGTGGCGTCAGGTGATGTTTGATGCTAAAACGTATACGTTAGCGGAGGCGTGCGTATGCGTGTGGAACCGGACGTCACGAGAGCGGAGAAGTTAATTTTCTACTAAAACTTATAAAAACCTTAGCACGGGTGAGTCTCCAGAACGTTGTCCCAAACAAAAGATCTCAGATGCAAAAGCGTGCGAGCTGAGTGACTGTTTTGAAGGTGAAGGTCCTGCCAGATTGCAGGACGGTGGCTCAGTAGCATTTAGGCTTGTGATCGCCACATGTGGTCACGTGTGGCTGGGCGTCCCGTACAGAATGTAGTCACACAGTAGCTGTCTTGGGTGACTCTGGGTCCCGCGCAGGCTGTGGTCATGCAGTAGTGGTCAAGTGTAAGCCTCTTGTGGACACTGCAGCCCGAGGAGAAGATGCGTGGCCCCACAGTGCAGCCCATCGGAGGGCAGGGGACCCTCCTCACCTAGCAGGTGGTTTCCTGAGCTGCCCCTGAGACGCGGGTACAACGTCAGACGTTTACCTTCTGTTTGAAGCCGTCCAGGGCTGCTGAAATGCATCGGGTGCCCTCTCCTTCACCTCCGTCCCTCCCAGGGTGCCATCAGGGCACTCGGCCTCCCAGGGTCTTGGCCGGGCCTGCATGAATCGGGCCCTCTGTGGGGAGTTGGCTGTCTGTCTGACGCTGCACCAGCTCTGATTCACAGGGTGGTGTGGATACCGCGAGGACAACCCCAGCAAGACTGAATGGGCTGCTTTAATTTACATCCGTGTACACGATATGAGCGAATCATTCTGTATAAAACTGTTTCGAAAACTGGCTTCTCCCGTTTTGATTTGCAGAGGAGAAATGTTCCCGTGAAGCCTCCAGAGGAAGCGAAGGTGAGTTGCACGGACGTGTAAGTGAAAACCTGATGATTAGCGTTCCTGCGGGGAACGGTCGTGTTCAGCCTGTGAAATGGGGTCATTGAGAAGAGGGTCACGTGTTGTTTTCTTGGGAAACTGGTTAAGTGGTAGTCTCCCTGCCCCTGAGTTTTAGTGACAGGGGTGAGGGGCAGGAAGCCATGGCACTTCTCTTCCAGTCCAGGCACGGGAGCCGCAGAGCAGTGGTTGTGCGGGGGCCCTGTCTTCTCACGTGGCAAGTGTGCACGGCTGGCCAGTGGGGAAGCAGGCGCTGGACCGGATTCCTGTAGGGCAGCCACAGGGCACTCTAGCCTCTGGGGTGCTCCCTCGGCTATGTGTGGGGCCTCAGCCCTGTGAGGTCTCTAGGGAGATCTGCGTGTCTGCTCTTCGGCTGGTGTGAGAAGTCGTGAGTAAACCAGCTGTCTTCAAGTCGCTTTTATGAGTTCCAAGTTGCAGGCGAATCTGTAACAACTTGGAAAACCGCAGCTGTGGGATGAATGCCCCAGCCACGTAGGGAGAAGGGCCCCGTGCTGGGCCCTGGGTAGGATCATGAGTAGCACTGAGCCTCGGTCTCTGGTTGCAAAGTAGAACGGTAACAGTGGGGTCGTTGTAGGACTCTCGGTGGCACTCTCCCTTGAGATCTGGCTACCGCTGTACTCCATAAACACGAGCTCAGCCCTGGCCAGCGTGTCGATGGCCCAGAGTGATCACTGTAACATTTCTCTTGAGAGAGATTTGTCAGAGCACAGAGCAAAGTGGCTTTTCTGAAAGTCAAGTGAAAGAAGCAAATTCACAGATCACCCAGATGAGACAGACCGATGGCAAGGGTTCACGCCCAGATAGGATGACAGGAGAGGGCTCAGACCCAGAGGGGACAGGCCGATGTGAGAGGGTTCACACCAGAGGGCATGGTCCAACGGGAGAGGGCTCACACCCACAGTGGACAGGCCGACGGGAGAGGGTTCACACCAGAGGGCACGGCCTAATGTGACAGGGCTCACACCCACAGGCGATAGGCCGATGGGAGAGGGTTCATACCAGAGGGCGGGGCCCAACAGGAGAGGGCTCACGCCCACAGGGGACAGGCCGGTGGGAGAGGGCTCACACCAGAGGGCACGACCTGACGGGAGAGGGCTCACAGGCCCTGTGCCCCTTGCCTGGTTAGCAGGGTCTCATCTTCCTCCTTCGCCAGGTCCCTGTGTGTGGCCGGATGTAGGTGGGTGCCTGTCCCTACTCTCTGGGCTGGAGGAGACCCTGTGTGAGCCTTCTAGCTGCAGGGCGGGCTGAGGGTGTTCGAGGGCACGTGACGTGCACCTGCGCAACCAGGTCCACAGGCTCTGAGCGTCTGCTGCAATGTGGACCTTTAGTTGAACTATTTGGTGAAGAAACGGTGCCTCCAGGCCGTGTGTCGGGAAGGGCGTGGTCATCAGACAGTAACTTATCCCACAGTGACTTAGGGTCCGATCTGCAAAGTGAGGGTGGGATTTGGTAGGATTTGGAGGCCTTAGGGTCTTACTTATAGTACATTTCCCTTAAAGCACCAGAGGTGGCTCTCAATGTTCATTTTAAAAAGGGCCAGACGTTAGCTGTTACCTCCTAATGTTTACGAGCCACAGGCCGCTGTGGAAGGTTTGCGTGGTGGGAGCGTCTTGGGGAACGCTGGGCTGTTTCCTTACAGTGCAGAGAGGGCTAGGAGGGCGTGGGGCGGCCACAGAAGGAGAGAGAACACGCTTGGCTTGGAATCTGCCGTGTTTTTACATGTAGTCTCTGCAAGGTAGCCGTGAGCCCCTCAGGTCCCCTGTGTCCCCCTGTGCCGCCGCCCCCCTCCCCCCCCCCGTTGCAGGGACCTGTTTATCCCCGAGAGCCAGCGGCCTTTGGCTGTGGGGTTTGGTCTCGGCAGTGGCAGCCGCCTTTGGGAGCGCCCTTGGTGGTCGTGGCTGCAGCGAGGACCAGACGCAGCGTGGTCTTCCCGCTCCCTGGGTGTGGACGTGGCGGAGCCGGCCTGTCCTGGGGGCGGGGGGGGGGGGGCGCTGCCGCTCCTGTGAGTTCAACAGCTGGTGTTAACTGCCCGCTCAGTGACCTCTTTCCTTTTCTGCTCGGTACCTACCTGTCTCCTGCAGGCTGGGGACTCGCTGGGCGACAGCAACTCCGTCCTGGACTTCATGTCGACAAAGTCCTACTCGGACGCCTCCCTGGACATCTCCATGCTCGGCTCTCTAGGTAGGTCGTGCCGGGCGTGCTCACATCCTCAGGCTCCGCTGGAAGAGGACGCTGTGTTCTCATCCCCGGTGCCGAGTCAGTCTGCGAGGTGGTCCCCGGGGCATGAGGCTGGTGTGCCGACGCCTGTCCCCTTTCTAGGAATATGGCCACTGTGCTCGGGGTCCCTCCCTGATGGCCCCGGAGGGGGCTTGTTCAGGTCTCCTTTTTGACGTCAGGGTCCCTCGAGCCTGTCGGTCGTGTAGGGACGAGCTGCCTGCCTCGTGGCCTGCCATCGATGTGTCTGCACGCACGTACCCACCAGGCTGTGCCCTCGTTGGCAGCTGAGCCCGACCCTGCCACATGAGATGCCCTCTGCGGTCCGCATGGCACCCAGGGTTTTGGAATCTCTTTGGCCGTCCGGCTCCCTGTTGACTCGAGGCTCTCGGGATGCATTCTCCTCCCCTCCTTTCCTTTGGGCCGACCTGACCGTTACCACGGGGCTTCTCGCGGACGGTGGCCTCCCTCATTGTGTGTGGCCGTGCCCCTGGTGCTTCCGGCGTCAAGGGGTGGAGGCCAGACGTGCTGCTAACCATCCCAAGGCGCAGGGCGCGGCCCCCCAAGAATGACCCGGCCCCGGAGGCCACCGCGGCCGGGGGTGAGAAATCCTGCCTGCGTCAGAAGTGGTTTCTGTCGGCGGCTCGGAGCGCATGAGGCCGGCTCTTGCTTTGTCATCAGCCCCGCGGTCTCTGCCTTGGGTTAGGCTGTTTGCACTTAGCGTGGTAACCCAGACCTGATTGAGATCTGCTGTCTTGCTCCTTGTCTCTTATTTTCCCAATTGTTTGGGGGTCCCACGCCTACCGCTGGGTTAGGTGGTTCCCTAGGAGTCTTGGGACTCGTGGCTCTGGTTTGATACAGCAAAGGGGGACAGCTCGGGACCCACAGAGGGAAGGGGTGCATGGGGCGAGTCTGGGGGAGACCAGGCAGCGCTTCAGAGCCGCCCATGGGGTCCCACGGACACGCCTGACTCCCAGCATCGAGTTGGGCCAATGCAGGCGCTCTCTCCCTGGCACATCTGCAAATTCCAGGCTCCTGGAAGGAGAGCAGGTGTTCAGTGGAAACCACATCAGTTGCATGGACAGTCGAGGTCCGGGGAGCCCCTCTGTCACTCGGGTGGCGGCGACCCTCCCGGGATCCAAGTTCACCAGCCAAGGGCCAACTTGGTCTTCTGGGCTTGCGGTCGGAGGCTGCTCTGTTAACGTTAGCCTCGCCAACTCTTCTTTTCCTCTGTGTTTAAGGTTTTTTCCTCATTACTGGTTTTTGGTAGTTTGAGTGTAAGGTGCCTCGATTTGCTTTTGTTTGGATTTTTCCGTTGGGTTATGTTCGACCTGTGGACTCGGGGGAACCTCTGGACTCGGGGGTCTGTGGATTTTCAGCTGGGCTCCCGATTCTGCCATTTGTTGCCGAGTGTCTTTGCTTCGTGTCTGGCCGTCTGTTCCGCCGCGGCTGACCTGCTGTTGTCCTTCCCAGCGTGGGGTGGCGGGTTGCCGCAGACGCGGCTCTTTTCCTGTGCCGGAGCCCAATTCGGCTTTTCCAGACTCTCCCCTTCTCCCCTCACCACCCTCTTCCTCTGCTTTTTGAGGAGCGAGTGCCTAGTCGCGAATTTAAGGCCCCTCTTGTTCACAACTTTCCTCCCGCGTTTGGTGGGGCTGTTTCCTTGCCCTCTGCCCACCCGGTAGTGGTTTCTCATGGGCCAGACTGCAGTTACGCCCTTGGGTGCTGGTTAGCTCGCGTGCCTCGATGCCGCGCTTGGTCACGTTCTGACGGGCCGTTACCGATGTGTAGGCGTTGGACCCTGTCCAGGTGTGGCTGTGAGGTGCTCTAAGGGCGGCCCTGAGCCACATTTAGTGTAGGGAGGGACACCGTCCCGCCGGTGGACCGCACCCTTCTTCAGGCTTGGGCCACCGGTTGTCGGAGACACGTGAGTTCTTGAACTGCCTGGAGGGGTCGTATGCTCCCACGCACGCAGGGCCCCTCCTGGCCCAGACCCGGGAGCTCTCCCGGCAGCCCACTGCCCGGGGCCCCCTGCCCCCGCTCTGGCGTGTTCTCTGTCCTGGCGTCTGTGGGCCTCCGTTGCACATGCTGTCCTGCTTCCTGCGTGTTTACACCAGAGGGCAATCCCTCTTTGTGAATGGCTCAGATCTGACGTGGCACCCGCCCTCCAAGCTTGCCTGTCCTCTCTCCCCCCCCCCCCCCCGACCCCAGCTTTCCGCACGGTGGGTGTTGTCCCAAGCGTTCATAGCGGCGAGGGAGAGACTGGGGGTGCGGCCCAGGTGTCTGGGTGTCTGACGTCTGACGGCCCCATGTCTGTGCAGGGAAAGTGAGGAAGGAGCCTGACGCAGACGACAGCCACCTGAACCTGGATGAGACGGCGAAGCTCCTGCAGGACCTGCACGAGGCACAGGCAGAGCGCGGGGGCTCCCGGCCGTCCTCCAACCTCAGCTCCCTGTCCAACACCTCCCCCTCCGATAGGGACCAGCACCACCTGGGTAAGGTGGCCCCCGGGACCGTGCGGGCTGCTCCCTCTGCAGGGTGTCCCTGCCCCTGGGGCGCTGAGACCGCCCTAGTCGGGCAGCTGCCCGGGGCGGAAACGTGTGAGTGGAAGTCACTTGGCGTTAGGAATCGTGGGGAGTGGCCGTGAGACGTGGCCGGCCCTGTGTCGGGTGGAGCCCCAGCTGGCTACACCCCAGGGCCCTTGGAAGGGGCAGAACGAGCCTCAGACGCTGAGTTCAACTCGGGGAACGTTTGTTTCTTTCTGCCATTCCCGTGTTTAGTCCTAACACAGAGTGTCAAGGAGCGTGTCGATCCTCCGGGGCCCTGAGGGGAGAGCAGGTGGCCTGGGGCCTTCTGTGTTTACTGAGACAGAGCGGGCAGGTGTGTGGGCCCCATCGGGATTTCAGTCCCACCAGGAAGGGAACCAAATGCTTCCTGCTCCTTGAATTTACTCCCTTACTTGCCCATGCTGCTGTCGTAGTTCCCAGGTAGAAGGTCGGGCTCGCCGAGTACGTCTTGACGTTGTGGGCTCAGGGGTGCTCGTCCGCGGTGGAGGTTTGGCTGAATAACAAGCGGGCTCTGTGGCTGAGCTGTGGTTTCACTAACCGCCGTCACTAGGACACGTTTTCGGCCCGGTGTGAACCGTGATGTGTGTGTGGATCTGCTGTGTGAACACCTGTCTTTCCCACAATTGCAGGAAGTCCTTCTCGCCTCAGCGTCGGGGAGCAGCCAGAGGTGACCCACGACCCATACGAATTTCTTCAGTCTCCAGAACCTGCAGCCTCTGCAAAGAGCTAGCCTTGTACATAGACTTCCGTTAGTTTTTTATTTTTTTATTTGTGTGTACAGAGTTTTTGTCGTGAGACAGAGACTTTCGTTTTGTCCCCTCTGGCGTGCGGGAAGCAGCCCGGGAGGTGGGGAGGTGTCTCTGGCATCATGTCAGCCACACGCGGATCCCGTGTTTCTGTGGGTAGCCCCGTGAATGCTGGACAGTGGTCAGCACACATGCAGGTGTGTGACCGGGTGGGGTCGAGCCGTTGTGCTTTGTCTCTTGAGCTTTGAGGGGTCTGTAAAGCTCCTCCCTATGGCCGGCCGGGACACGCCGTCCTGCCCCAGCATCCTTCCCGAGCACCCCTTGGGAGGCAAGAGATGCCCACGTTGGGGGTCCTGTGTGCCGTTTGCCCTGCCCGCCCTCCCCGCCGTCCCCACATTCCCGAAGCAGGTCGTGGCGGGGCCGCACCCTCCTGGCCTGGGACGGGCTCTGTGCTGGGCGAGGCCTGCCTTCTGCTGGAAGCTGACACTGCCCCCTGGCGACAGTGGTGTGCTGTGTCCGTAGACTTTTTTAATCTGGATGTGTTTACTGGATGCCTGTTTACATTTGCAAAACGTAGAGATCTCAATAAAATACAGAGCGATTGCATGTAATTGTTTACAGCCCGTAGGTGTCCACTTCTTTGTTGTTTTCTTAATTTTCTTCAACGTTTATATTTGAGAGAGAGCACAAGAGAGGGAGGGGCTGAGAGAGAGGGAGACGCGGAAACGGAAGCAGCTCCGGGCTCCGAGCTGCCAGCACAGAGCCCGACGTGGGGCTGGAACTTACAAACCGTGGGATCATGACCTGAGCCGCAGTCGGACGCTCAACCACCCTGAGCCCCCAGGCGCCCCTGTGGGTGTCCCCTTCCGAGTGACTTTTCGGCGAGAACCTTTGTCACAGGAGGTCAGCAGCGTCCGTTCCGTCCGCTCACCCTCCCGCGTTTACTCTGCGTCTGGCCCCGTTCTCCGCCCGCAGTGTGTCTGTCTCTCTTACCCACCCTGCACCACTTCCAGGTGGCTTCCTTTTTGAAAACAGAATTGGAAGGGCGCCTGGGCGGCTCCGACGTTTAAGCGTCCCACTCTTGATCTTGGCTCGGGTCATGATCTCCCGGTTCGTGGGTTCAAGCCCCGTGTCGGGCTCTGTGCTGACAGTGCAGAGCCTGCTTGGGAGTCTCTCTTTCCCCCTCTCTGCCCCTCCCCTACTTGTACGCACGTGCGCACACTTCTTTCTCTCTCGAAATAAACTTCAGAATATTAAAACAAAACAAGATTGGAGCTTCTGTCACCTCACAGGGCAGAGTGAATCCCGGGGGAAAGGGGTTTGTGTGACGGAGGCAGTGGACAGCATGACGTCCCCTGACCCACAAGTGCCACGGGGTGGGCCAGCCCTGCTGGCCACTGCCCGCTGTGCTGGTAGGGCCCCTTGGGAACCTCAGGAGAAGGGGAGCAAAACACTGCATAGCCGAGGCATCAGGAAGCCGTGGCAGGTGCCGGCAAAGGAGCAAGTCCCCAGGAGGGACAGGCCCCACGGTCAGGCTGCTCCTTCCTGGGTGTGTCACAGCCGTGAAGGGGGGGACCTGGGGCTTGGGGCGCCTCCCTGGGCCTGCTGCTCCAGGAAGCTGGCAGGATCCAGGTCTGAACCCACAGGTGCTCTCGGTGGTCAGAATAACTGGGGGCAGGTGGCCAGAGAGGGGGAGTGTCCCTCAGAGCCACACTGGCCACGTGTCAGCCACGGATGCACGGGAGCGCCACAGCACCTCAACCGTGCTGTTGACTCTCCGGGGAGAGGCTGTCTGGGCAGACAGTGCCGGGTGACGGGGGTTCATCTTGCTGCCTTTTCTGTGGGAAGCCACACTCCAAACAAGACCAGCGAGGGGGAGAGTGTGCACATGTGTGAGTGTGCATGCTTGTGCAGTCTCGTACGTACATCTGCGTGCACATGAGTACGTGTGACATGTGAGCATGTGTGTGAGCACGCGTGTGCACATGTTTATCCTGGTGCACGAGTGTGGACGTGCACATTGTGTTAGTGCATGTGTGAGCACGTGTGAGCGTGTGTGACTCCGTCCGTACACGTGAGCACATGTGTTGGCGTGTGTGTGTTGGTGCCTGTGTGTGTGCACGTGAGTGCCAGCGCCTACCTGTCCCGCGCTCCACCTCGCTCCTCCGCCATCCCTGCCCCTGGCCCCAGTGCTGACCCTTTGGGGGTTGGGTGCTTAGGTGTGTGCGCAGCGGGATTGCAGCCGGCCTGTAACAGAGCTTGTGAATGACCTTCCTGTCAGGCAGGTTGAGGATCACACTCGGTGGAGTGCTCTGTGCGCCCTAAAAATAGGGGCGAGTCTGTGTTGAGGGAAGGGGACACTGGGCTGCAGCAGAGTGGACAAGAGTGGGTTGCAGAGTGGGGCCCACAGCACGCCTGTCCCATTAGAAGTTCAGGGCATGCAGTTGTGCATGGGAAAAGTCCTGGTTGTCCCGGACGGGGGTTATGGCTCTGGGTTTAGGTCTGTTTCTTAGTGTTGTAGCTTCTGGAGTTTTTCTCATGGAGTGAAGATGTCTCTTTCGGAGGCACATTTCTCATAGGTGTGAGTGGCTGAGGTCACCGTGGCTCCAGGTCAGCCGGGAGGCCCGACCGCCTGCAGACTCGGGGGACCCCTGGGGTAGTGCCTCCCCTGCCCCACTCCCTGGTGCCTCTTTCAGGGTCTGCCGAGTCGAGGGGTTGAGGTCACAGGCCCCAGAAAAAAACCCCAGCGAGGGGCCAGCAGCCTGCACACAGGCGTATCTGGGGAAGCATGTTGTATGCAGAAGGCCGAGACCTTGCTCGTCTTCATTTACCGAAAAGCACTTTCAAGCGCTGTAAAGACTACACTTTGCCGCAGCTTGAGCTCTGCCGGTGGGAGTGGTGGCCTCACGGCCGACACTCACATGCCGTGTCAGACGTGGCCGTTCAAAAGTGAGTGCACTGTGGGAGGCCTGCACTCTGGCGGGCGCCCTGCCCTGAACTTGAACTGTGTTCAGTTACTGGCATCTCCCACCATCCGCGGCCTCTGCCGTGCGGATGGCTGGGCTCTTGGGGGTCTGAGACCCTGGTCAGGCAGCCTGTCGTCTGCCCTGGGTCTCTGGTGGCATGTTGGCCTGGCCGGGGGAGCGCTGTGGGAGCATTGCGGCTCCAACACGTCTCACGCCAAAACCTGGACTAAACCCTTAGGAACGACGAAAAACGAACATCAGGAACTGAGCTTGGGCTAAGAAGGGACCCAGGCCCCACCGAGTCTGCCCAAGAGGGAGATCGTCAGGTTCCCTTCCTGTGGCCTGAATCCGGAGGACCAGTCCCGGCA